CCCAATACTACATACAAGTAGTATGCAAATTAATATGGAATGCCTTAGATAATTGGATTTGGCTATTACTAATTTGACTTAAACATATTCGTGGTTTATCCTCAAAAGTTATTGAAGTTGGAGTTTGTCTGCGAAAGTTAAATAGTTTTCTGGTCAAGTTCGGATGGTATACCACCACCGGAGCTTGATTCGAGCTAAAATATGCTGGCATGAATTTTGAAATTTATTTTGTTTCTTTTTTACCACCCCGAACAAATCAGTACTCTCATTCTCAGAATTTCAGAATTGCACCCCAAAATTTCTTCTATCTTGCAAACTTAACCACTGGCATCTTTCCATAGAATTTTGGCACCTTTAAATTAGAAATTTTCCACCTAAAGTTTTGGCATTTGACAAAGCCCAAATCACCGGTTTGCCAATGGGCATCTTCTTGCCCTTTCATTTCATTAACATAATTTTTGTACGTAGGCACGATTAATAAAAGAGTACTTAGTGAAAAAAAAAAATAATAGGTCGAAATGGCCGTCAAATATTCTACAAAATTGAAAGTTGTAAAAGTTGAGTGGTCTATTTTAAAGTTGATTAGCAGAAAGTTTGTAATAAAAAAGTAAAATATGTGGCATTGGAGGAAAATTTTGCCCTTATGATATTTTAGACTTATAAGTAGTATAAGTGATACTATCCCATACATAGGCCACAAATAAATTCTACGTTATTAGTTGATTCTGCTAATAAAGGAATCAGATTCAGAGAAGAGAACATTCTAATAGTGGGAGTAAATGTGAAGTTTAAATTCTTCCATTGTAACTCAAGATGGTGCTTTGCCAAATTATGTGGATTATTTAAAATCTCTCATTGGTTTTGACTCAAATCACATAGAATTTGTCAAAAATAACTTTTAAATACAACTCGAGTAACAATATTATGCCAAAAAAATCTTCTATTTTTTTTTTTGGCTTAAATCACATTGTATTTAGCTTGACTAGAAAAGATGGAAAGTATACAGATTGTCTATATCATATATATATATATATATATATATATATATATATATATAATAAAGTCGTACCCTCATACTTATCCCTTTATATTTTCTCTTTCCTACGTGGCTTAACGAGACGGTAAGTAGTTTCCTACGTGGTTTGCTCCTTTTTTGTTTAGATATATATCAATTCTTATTTTCTATAAAAATTCTTAATATTATATGATTCTTATTTCCTACCCAAAAAAGGAACTGGAAAGTAATGCGATATAAATAAAAGAGACATAAATCTCCTCTATTAGATATATAGGAATAAATGATAATATATTTTTATAGGAATAAATGATAAAATGTTTGTTAATTGATTTTTATGATCATATACTACGATGTTTGTTAATTTGCCTTCAGGAAAAACAACCAAAAACAAAAGGCACTGGAAAGTAATGCGATATAAATACAAGAGATATAAATATCTCTATTAGATATATCTGCAAGTTCATTAGTTAATTAAAAGAGTCTGGTCGTTTACTTAATTATAATCTTTACGTATTGTTATACACAAACTTGAATACGATAAATCATTTATTTTTTTATACTTAGTTATCCTATTTTGCTATCATGCAATGATAATAGAAAATCAATAAATGCTGATTTGCACAGACAAATCGAGGAGAATGTTCAAACAGAAAAAAATAAAAACAAGTTTTTGAATAGTAGAATATTATTTGATACTATTTACTGCACTTTTTATTTATTTTCAAGTTTTTGAATGTTATGGTATTGTTGAATGTTATTTTTTCTATTTTTGAATTATTATTCACTGAATTAGATGTTCAAATTTATATTATAAAAATACTTTACATTACAATGCGCACATAGTAATATACTTAAGACAAGTTATAATAGATTATACATTAAATATGTATTTTATATCGACATTTTTATAAATTGACTAAAGTTTATTATTTTTCGACGATTCCCGTTCAACGAATGGGTACAAAACTAGTTAGCTATAGAAATTAGAGAGAATTTTGTATGTTAATCATAGAGTTATGTTGTACCAACGGTCAAACACCCTAATATAGATTTGTTCTTTATTAGTTACTTCAATCACCCACCTGAGGCTGAAAGTTGAACCTTAATCAAGAAAATAAAAACTTTGTTTTAGATTTTTGTTTAAAATTCTTTCAAGTTTTACCCAAAAAAAAAAAAAGATGTCAATTGAAAATTACTTACATCTTTCAAAAGGGAAAATGAGCAAATAAAATGTCTTTGCACATTTTTCCTTGTACTAAAATATTCATGACATTGTCCAAAAGGAACTTATTGAATGTATGAATTCTAGTGGATTTTGATATAATTTTTAGGATTTTTCTAATGGTTGTCCATTCGGCATTCATTAACACATTTAAAATTTACTTAACCTATCAGCATATAAATATACTAACAATTATTATCCTCTCTTGCATTTATATGCTTTCTTGTCTAATCTTACCGGCTCTCTTTTGTATTTATTTATTTTTTCTAATTAATCTTACAATTTAAAAAAATATAATACCTGAAATATATTTTAACGAGCACCGTTAAATTGGCTCTAAATTTTATATCATCTCCTCTCCCATTTGGTGACACGAAAGCAATTCAATGGGTCAAAACATGACAAGAGGCATATTGAGAATCAAAATTCTAAAGATACCTTTGCAAGCTTGGACAAGAAATACTTCTTATTTTACTGTCACACTTTGTAAATATTCAGAGGTCCAAATCAGAAGGAATCTTCCAAATTGTCCAATTATGAAAAAAAAAAAGCATAAAAAGGGTCACTACCAATAGCCCAGGTCCCCTTACAAAGACATCTACTGTAGAAAAATAAAATTATTGCACTCCAAATTGGTCAAGTCAACCTGCACCTTTTTGTATAACTAGCAGAAATATACCGTGCTTGCGCACGGTAAAGAATTAATGTAATGCCCAGGAGGAGCGTTACAGAGCATGAATTTAATAAAGTACTGTAATTTGTATTTGTAGTATGTTGAGTAAAAATTAGGTGGTGTAGGGGAGATAATTAAAAAGATGGAAAAAAGGATACACTAACCATTAATTCAAATGACACAGCCATCTAAATCAAGAATCCAAAGGCTAGCAGAAATTTATTTGTTGCCATCTTACGTGGGATTTGGTGAGCAGCGGAATGCAATTATAAATTAAGGAAATGGAGAACCTGGCATTAGTTAAAAAGGGGATAATTAAAGTAGAATATAATAAACTTAAATATTTGTCCCACTGTTAGTGCAACAAGTTTATAAAAAATTGTAGCCATTTAAAGTGAAGAGATAACTCCATGCAGGCAAAATAATTTCCTGTATTTGATAGAATTAAAGAACATTAATTTGGCTGCAATTCCCTGAATGGTTGGAATAAATCTGCGTACTGCAAAGGTAAATTCCCTATGGAAAAAATAAAAGACAATAGAAGCTGGCATTCACATGCTTAGTGAACATATAAGAAGGACAAGGTTTCTCCTGGAATAAACGTAAAAGAAGTTGGCTAAGTTTTACTGGTTGGTGCATCAGAGAAGATGCAGAACTTATTGTACCAGGGGAACAACTTTTCGACTCCACGCTTGTCGAAGATGAGGACAGTATAGCAGGACTTTGTTTCAGGGATAAATACTAAAGCGTCGCCAAATTGTAGCTGATGCTCAAAAGCAAATGTGTTCCAATTTGTTGCAAACCGTCTCCGACGCATTCCAACAGTGATTGTCTTGTTTCCAGTTCGTAGGGTGACCAGAGGAGTTCTGTCACCGTGTATGAAGAAGGATACAAATTTGGGCACTTTCTGTTGTTCACCAAAAGGAAAAAGTTATTAGTGGGAAAGAAAGCAGCGAATGAAAAAATAAAACAAGAGATAACTGAAGCTTACAAAATTATGTTGGTTTTCCTGAGTGAAGATCTCATAGAATGATAGACCATCAGCGATGTCTTGAACGAAATCTGGTTTCATTGCTGATGCTACTCTCTGACAATGCATTCTTTGTTCTGTGTTTCATAAAAAAGGTAAGCGTACAAAGCTAGCAAATTAAACAAGGACAATGCTAAAAATTTGGAAGTGTTTAAGCATGAGAAAACTAACTTTTTGCGATAACATGTTCTGGAGCATCCAACAAACTAGGTAGTGGATGACTCCAAGGTAAGTAGCCATGCGTTTTTGTTGCTGAGTAATGGAGGACGTCGAACACCAAGTTTCCGGAATGTCGAAGGAACATTGTGTCGTCTTCATGGATGATATTATTCTCGCAGAAGTCTTGCCAACCTTCTCCAAACCAAGTTTCTAAAATGCTGATAGTCCATGTTCTATAGCCTTCTCGAATAGTTATTGTACGCTGTTGATGGTTTCTTAGAAGCAGCAGAAATTGAGCAGGGAATATCTAATTATTTTGAAAAACTTTGGTTATCGTTAAAGAAGGCACATGTCATGAGGAAAAAAACTATACAGAATCAAAAGTACCTGCTTAGAACCGCTACTCCTAAAGAAGAAGCAGCATTCCATGCTGCCGGTAATATTTGGCGGAAGACTGGAGGATTCAACGCTTTCAGAGAACTCCATACTTGGTTGTTATAAGTGTAATTAGCTTTTGAGGCTGAATATTTTAGAAGGTTGTTCTTGGCAAATATATATATAGGGCCTTCATAACATGAACAGATAGCATTAATTGGCCTGTAAGAGTATCTGGTAACCAGTGAATTTATTTAAAGTGGCTGAACTAATAGCTGTAGGATCAGTAATGGATGCAGAAAAGGCAGTCTTGGAAAGATGCAGCGTGGTTTGATGTTTGAAGGCAACAGTTAAGTCATCGCACATTGTTCCAGAAGGAATGAATTGGAAAGGTAAAAGCTTTGATAAATGCACTGGAGAGTGGAACGTTCTTTGCTGCTGGCAGTCAATGCTAATTCCAAACAAAATGAATGGTACAGGATGATTATAGCGATTATTGTACTTGATGTGGTAACATTATAGATTATGGCGTTTTCAAATTAAGTTGCAAAAGGCATGCAAATTAACAGGCAAAACGTAAGAGTGTGTAGAAATACAAAGTTCAGAATCATGAAAATCCCTGAGCATTTGCAAGGCATATCAGTAGCATGATAGTGGTCTTAAAAATGTTGAGACTTGGTGTCCTTCACCACACAAAAAGGCACCTAGGAGCCAACGCAGGAAAAAAGATAGTTTGCTTGGAAAGGAAACAATTCTAAGCTTGTCTAGCTTTTTTCTTGGGGCTGGTCTGAAGAGCTTCAGAGCTTAATTGCCTCTGCTCATCTGACTCGTCAAATTTTTGAAGAAGACAAACTTTAGCTTTTGAAGAAGACGTTCCGCCTGCTGAAAAGTAGTAACCATACCTGATTCAGTAAGATGCCTCTTCTATAGAAAAACAAATAGGTCTATTCATGCACATGTGAAACAAAGATGATTAAGTAAAGGCTATAACCTGATGAAGGACAAGTAAAGGCCTGTTCACTGGAGCCTGTAACAGAAACTTGTTCATCAGAAGCTTCCTTGTAGTATACCATTGTGAAACGTTGTTTTGCATCAGCCAAGGGAACCTGTACAGGTCTAATGTACGCAAGGAATTTCTTGGATTTTAGGTCTTCATGCAGAACCTCAAGTGGTAACACCATATTCTGCAGTGGACAAAACAAAAGAATTTATATACATATACATAAATACACATACATATGTGCTGACGCGGCATGGTAAGAGTAAACCTGAAAATAATGCTCCATTGCTTCTTTTGCTGTGAACGTTAGCAGTTTCTCAGCTAAATCGCCAAACATTGTGGCTGTGACTGTTCCGGTGTCATCAGAGAGGTCAACATCAAATTTACACCTATTAAATATGCAAGTTTTATATAAGGCACAACAGAGGAAAAGAAATGATAATGTAATGAGCAGTAGCAGAAGAAATGATAAGAAACAAATAAAGTAATGATGGTCAGACCTTGGTTCAGACTTGTGCTTTTGTTTACAAGTATTACACATGAACAAGACACCATAGTCAGCAGACGTGGAGCGGAAGCAATTTTCACACCCCATGTACCAAAATTTTTGAAAAATGTGATCAAATGAGAATGATGCTTTCACCCACACATTCTGAGAATAAAGCTAGTATATGAATTAGTCAAACTATTTGAAGGCTGAAATCCACTGATAATGCTGCAATCAAGACAGTACCTTGTGTTTTGAGCTGATATTTGATATATCAGTAATTTTTTGATCTGCTTGGAAAGAGAGATCAGGATTGTATCGACTGTATGTTCTCTTTGCAACAATGTCTGCAAGGCATTTGGCATTTCTACTTGCCCTGTGTATAGGTTATTAAAATGGTAAGGCAAGCAGGGAAAAGAGCATTTTTTTATTGCGTACTCGAGGTTGAAAAATAAAAGAGTGGCACCAGCTCGTAAGTATCTCTGATTGTCAAGAAACAGATAATGTATATAAAGTCCATAAGCAACAAATACTGAAAACTATAAGAGCAGAACCAGTTCTTGAGTTCCCTTGCTTCTTGGACAGGTGGATTCACAAGAATTGCTGAATCAAACCAAGTAGAAAGAGCCACTCCTTAAAAAAAGAAAAGGGGAAGCAACATGTGATTTGAAAAAATGAACAGATGGAAAAGGTTAGATGGCAAAACATGTAACCGGCAACTGTTATACTCACCATTATAATTTTGAACCTTTAGCCTTCTTCCAATAAGAACAGGATAGTTCTGAATTTCCGAAATAATCTTGGAGCCTTCATTGTCAATAAAAGCATTCCACATAGACAGCATAAGTGTCTGCAATCTGACATATTTGAAACAGAGAAACTATTAATTTTTTTGTTTGGAAAAGGCTGCAATCTGCAACACCAGATAGTCATTGTATACAAAAGCAAAGATTCCTTACTCTTCATTAACAAGAACTAGTTTTTGGACTTGTGCTTCCTTTGAATTTACGGTGACAGTTTTTTCATCCAAAGCAGCAATAACAATTCCCATAATATCTAGTGAGAGGAATTCAAAAAATAAGACTTAAAGCATATAATAACCAAGGTACATCAGTATGGTTAAAAAGAAAGCTACTGACCAACAGAAATGTCCTTGCGGTCCATGTACTGTGCCAAGTCCGTAAAGTTTGTATACGTAAACTTTGCAGCCATAACATCCTCATTGTCTACAATCTCTTCAATAATTGTTCGACTGGTGATTATCCATTGGACTGCTAGCTCAGTGGTTCTAAAGTTTTCAGGGATTCTTTTGACCTGAGCATTGGAGATGAGGTATTTTTTGTAAACCTCTATTCTAGGGCTCATTATAGCAATATCAGCATTAAATATGATGCCTTCAACCTTTGATCCCTGGAAAAGAAATATTATGATGGTCGACAAATGAGCAGCGTTTAAAGTCCTAAGTTTATCACATAAGATTTTGAGAATAGAAGGTCAAGTGCACTGAATACCTCAGAATCAATGAAGATAAACTTCTGTTTCCTAGTTGGTGTGCTAAGTGATGAGGTAACTTGCTGTTTCTCCTGGACAGTGACCTTTGCTGTCCATTTCTCCATACCGACCTCAACATCATTGATAGATAATATAGTGCACATCCTGCACTCGTTAGCAATAATAAGAGTAAATAAGCAAGGGATTTCAGTTTGGAAGGTAAAATCAAAGTATAAGTTCTGAAAACAAAAGCTAAAAACATTTAAATGTGCAAGCTACCTACGAACAGTGCAAGTGATCAATTAGACAACTGCAATATTTCATCAAACACAATATTTCTTGTTTTGCAGTCAGTTTTGATTTCAGCAAAAGTTCCTGGAAGTATGAGGACTTTAACTGCATCAGCAGTCTTTGCTCTGGACAAGGCAACGTATAGTTGGCCATGAGAAAATACGGGCTCCTTTAGATATACACCAACATAGTCAAGAGTTTGGCCTTGAGCCTTGTTAATTGTCATTGCAAAACAAAGGCGAACTGGAAATTGTCTTCTGATGAATGGAATCCCATTTTTTTCATTATCAGGTGTCTGCAATGGGATTCTGGGAATGAAAATCTTTTTCCCTTTATACTGACCAAAAGCTATCTCAGCACAGATAGTGTGCCGTCTTAGCTGCCGACAAATAAGTCTTGTGCCATTGCACAATCCTTCAGCTGGATTTAGATTTCTGAGCAAGATTAAGGGACAACTTTCTTTTAGCATGAGCTTGTGTGGAGGAAGACCCTTTGGATTTTGAGAATTCAAAAAGTCCTCATAATCTGCCTGGAATCTCTGATCAACAGTTTGGTCAGAGCTTGTATAAGTAAAAAGCTGTCCAGGAAACCTCTGAATCATCATTTCATTGATGTCTTCAACAGAGGTGTTTTTTGGGGTTAAAATACATCTACTGATCATCTCATACGGATTAGATGAGTAGAGATTCAAATCTGGAAACGTGTAAGCTATCAGCCTGGGCGAAATTTTTTTTTGTTAGAAATCTGTGAAAGATAAACGAAGTAATACAGATGAAAAAGGACAGGAATGCGCGATGAAGCACAGGAAATGGAGAGGACCTGTCTAAAGAATCTTTTATATTGTGGAATGGTATAACCATATGACCTGGTAAGCAAATCTGGTTATCTGCATCAACAGGTTCTGCACCTTCCCCAACAGCGAGCAAGAATCGCGAAAAGGCAGGATCTAAGACAGCCCTCATGTTGTGTTTTAGCTTTATTTTGTGCATACAAGACCATAATGAAGAATGCAGGAGGCTAGCCTGAATTAGCTGGTCCTTGGTAGCTCCTTGAATAACGGGGAGAGTTTGGCGAAAATCGCCCCCAAAAACTACAACTTTACCTCCAAAAGGATCGCTAGTCTCCATTAGATCTTTCAACAATTCGTCAAATGCTTGAATAGTGTCTCTTTTTGCCATTGATGCTTCATCCCACAAGAATAACTTACATTCAATGATTAACTGTGCCATGCTGCTCTGCTTGCTCAACTGACACGTTTTATTTCTGGAAAAGTCCAACGGAATTTTAAATCTGGAGTGAGCAGTCCTTCCTCCAGGAAGAAGTGATGCTGCAACTCCTGAAGTTGCTACAGCTATCGCAATATATCCCTGCGATCTAAGTGTCGCAAGAAGAGAGCGATACAAAAACGTTTTTCCGGTCCCCCCTGGACCATCAATGAAAAAACTCTGGCCTTTGGACGAAAAAACAGACTGCAATATCAAATCATAAGCATGTTTTTGCTCTGCATTTAACTTAGAAGCTATCAAGAGATCTTCCGACGACACCACAATATTCATTTCACTGTCTACTTCCTTGGTCATGCTTTCATGACAGCTGAGAGTAATAGAATCTGTAACCAACTTATACTCACTGATATGCCTCCCCATATGCTGGAGCGATTTGTTAATATCAAACAGAACTTTCCGCCTTACTTCAGCAGCTGAACAATGAGTCTGTACCTGCGCTCGTGCGAAGTCTCTAGAAATCTCCATTTCAAATTTTTCCCACAAAAGACTTGGATTTGTTGCAGCACAATGCAAAAGCAAAGTAGCAAATAAAAATCTAAGCGAAAAAGGCATCTGAAAACCAGCAGCTTCTTCAAGTGTTGCCTCAATATAGGAATCAGATTCTAAGAGGCCAAGCTCTAAAGCAGCCTCTCTAAACGAATTCATTTTACATCCATTAACTGTCAACAAGTCATCAAAGGATGTAGGAGCGCGAACATGTGAGAGAAAAAGTCTTAAATAATACCTATCCCCTTCGCTTGGTTTGACAGTGACTAACCTGCCAATAACCTTATGCTTACTTCTTTCTGTCCACTTTCTCGTAGCAGGTGTCCACACAAAGTGCTGAGCAAAATCTCTATACAAACATCTGAGGCTCTGAGCTTTTTTGTTTACACGGTTCATTCTAAAGAACTCAGTTAACATAGTTCTGGAGAAGTCAATTTTCTCTAAGAGTTGTGAAAGATCAGAATCCTGATTGAAGGAAACATATTGGTGACCAGGAAGATGAACCTGAAGACTGTAAACAGCAGGGGTCATTTCATTCAAGCGAAATGCATAAATCCGCCACAAAGCTTCTGGAGGAGAAACCCAACGACCTCGCTGAAATTCCTTGATCTCATCGATATCCTGAGGTGTTTCATCAGCTATGATGTGGAAGTTGACAAGGTCATGGCCTTTAAATATGTATTTGTATAAATACTTGACTAATTTGATGGTTGAACAGATTTCAACATTGATGTGACAATCAATCAGAGCTAGCAAGTACGGAGTATACGGGATGACCCACCTATTATCCAAATCATAGCCTTTGACTCGGATTTTCTTGCCATCGTCTCGCCTACGATAATTCGGATAGCTATCCTCGCCGTGAGTCGTATGTTCAGAATACCCTTTTGGATAGTGACTTTTGCAAACACCGTTTTTCATACAAGGGCTGTTTTTGTTCATTTTTCCACAAGGGCCGTGAATCATGTGCCTTACAACTAGAGAATAAAGATGAGGATGTTCTTGACGATCAGGCAGTTCAGCAGAAACAATTTTATCATAGGCCTCTGGATTAAGAGGTTTAAACTGCGGTTTCAATATAAGCAGTAGGTGAGCATGAGGGAAGCCTCTTTTTTGGAATTCAATAACATAAACATATGCTGCAACGTCTCCAAATAATTTCTTTGTAACCAACTCTGTTTTCAGGATTTCAAACTTTGCCCTGAACACTCTAGCTAAAAGATCAGGCCTGTCCTGAGGTTTCTCTTTGTACTTTAAATGTGCCTTAATTTCTGGCCACAGGGGATTGCATGTCATGGTCAAGAAAATGTCAGGTTTTCCATATTTCTGGACCAGAGCCATTGCATCAAGATATCTACGCCTCATATCCCGCGGGCCTCCGAGAAAAGTAGCTGGTAAATATATTCGCCGGCCAACTTTAGAACCTAACGTTTGGCCTAAAGAGACACTATCCATTATTCCTTGAAGAGCTTCAGTCCGTATGGTATTCTGTTTTTTCCGGTGGAATTCAAGCCTAGATGTCTCTATCTTAACGTAGATATCAACAACATACTGCTGCAACAATCTCAGCGCATGTAACAACATGGACTCATCATCATGTCTCATTTGAAACCTATAACATTAGTATTCCCTAGCAGTGACGTTAGTTTTCTGTTTCTTGCCACGATCAGCGGCTGAAACAAAATGGAACTACGTATTAACAACATGGAGAAATAGACAATATGTTTGAAAAATATGACCATGCCTCTAAGAAACTAAGTTTATACTTGCCTCTTTGTTCCAGATTAATCAAATCAGATGGACTACCGATAGATGCTGGATCAATAGCAATATCAGCTTCACAAACAGGACGGGATCTTTTCCTATTTTCGCACGTAATCCTTTGGATTCCATGGTGCCATCCAGACTCACCACGAGGAAATAATAAATGATACTGTAAAGAGTCATAGCAAGCATAGTAATGCTTAATCATATGACTCTGATCGGAGTGACTATAAACCTGAATATGAACTGACTTATCAACTGATTCATCATCAGTCTCGGTCCATATAGCGGCTACTTGAGAAGCGGATGGAAGATTATACAAACGCTGATCAAGAGCAGGATTGCAATTAAGAACAATTCTATGGCGCTCGAGATCAGGAACATGACGCAAATCTTTAAAAAATTTGGCATAGGGATTGGCAGCTAAAATGCGCATAAGCAATTTAAGAGTGTCTGCGCGGAGCCGAGAGGAAGCATCAAGTCTCCTGGCAAGCTCCTCATCGGTATCAAAAAAGTATAACTGAATACCCGATGGTTTATGACGATGTGATACCAAACCATCGAGGAAGTGATAAACCTGGCCTTGTACACGAAACGTATAAACACCATGCTTATTCTTCGTCAATTCTGGATCATACTTTGCAGCAAAAGTAGTGAAAGAAACATTGTTGTTGTACGTACGAGCATTTTTCCTGAAATGGTCACATTCTTCATCATCGCCAATAAAGAGGCGACGAAGATCATAAGGCATTGCTGCAGTGACCAGTGAAACTTCCCCCCTTGAACAGCAGAAATTAGGAGGTTCTAAATGGAACCGTATAGCTCCACAATACTGGCAATTCGGAGAATCAGGGAGAATCAAAGAATGATCTGGAATCCTGGCTAAGCGAGGGAGAATAGGTTTCCTAGATATTCGCGGCTGACCTGGAACAAAGGGCAGAGTTTTGATGTCTCTGTTTTATGGATACGCTGGACAAGAACTAAAGGTGAAAAGGCAATAATAAGAGATTTAAATGGACACAATTAGACTGCAAACTGAGCTGCAGGTTTTTTGTAGACACAGGAGCATACCGTGACAATGTCACAGCAAGCTGCATTCCCTGTGAGTGAAAACAAGGTAAGATATTTTTTTAAAAGTAAGAAGATGGGGACAGCTTGTAGCTAAGGGAGAAAGCAAGACAATTAGGATGGCGAAGGGAGTAATGCGAATCTAGCAAGACAATTACAATTATAAGGGATGAACAAAACGAATGCAGATGACGAAGGGAAAACAGGCAGATAGACAATCAGGAGGCGTTTTTTAAAAACAAAGCAGGAGGGAAAAAGAAGAAGCTTAACGGTTCAATCTGCAATAGCAAATGGCAGAGAGAAATAGGAATAAACAATGAGAAAAGGGCACTAAGGCCGCAAAGCTGAAAACTAAAGTTAAGTGCTACCTTGTCGAAAACCAGACGGAATGGAACTTGCGGCAACAGAAGAGGAAGCATGCTGGTCACTTTCCAATGGAGCAACTGTAGAGCTGAGAAGGTGCGTTAGTTCAACACCTGGTAACACGTTTTCTGACTGAACTCCTAAAGAATATGGAGTTCCACCTGCTAACGCATCACTGCTCAGAAGATCAGTACTCTGATTAGAAGCAGAGTGCACAGAAGTAACAGGAATGCTAAGGACTGTTCCTGCAGGAGCTAATGGAGTTTGAGGAGTGGAAGCTGGACGTTTTCTGTTAGAAATGCCGGAGTTTGGCACAGAATCAGAGACAGAAGGGGGAATGTTTTTCTTCTTTGAAGCATTTGCCTCCCTGCGACGGCGTAAAAGATCATCCTTTTTTTCCTGTGGCATTTGTGCGTAACGACACGCGCTAGCTGCCCGTTGGCAGCGTAAAAGCTCCTCCTTTCTTTCTGGGGGCATTTCTGCATAACGTTTTCGGCGTTTCGCATTTCTATCCATGATGCAATATGATACGAGACAGGCGAGAGAACTACATGAATGGTTTACAGGCATTTCCAACCGCAGAGTAGGTACATTAGACAGGAAGTAAAAGGAAAAGAAGATAACGGGGCATATAAAAAAATGGAGGGAAAAGTAGCAAATCATTGGTCGATAAAAGGAGAAGCACAGAGATTAATGGATTAGCAAGGACAGTGACTGGACTACAGGAAGAATGGTAAGTACCTTATCCGCTGAAACAAGGGAAAGCAGTAGCAGGTTGCAGACGGCAAAATCTGGGAGGTTTAAGAGTGGACAGGGGAAAAAGCAATAAGCATCACAACAGTGCAAAGCGTAGAAGCAATAACAAAAAAAGGAAAAACGAACATGACCAAGAAAGCAAACGATGGATAGAGTGCAGACACAATGTACGAGCACGAAGCCGACACCAAAAAAAGGAACAGAGGGCAAAAAATGGTGGGTAGCAGCTAAAGTTAAGCCGTGAGCTAAAAAATAAGAGGGAAAAAATGCAATGAAAGTGAAAACGTTAGAACAAACAGAAGTGTACAGCAGTTAAAAAAATGCAAGACGAATAATAATAGCATGGACAGGCAGAATAAAGCTGTAAGCAGGATTAGCAGGATAAGTAGAAGGAATTGGGGGGGAAAAAGTAAAACAAAAGGAAAAAACATAAAGATTAGTACAGGATTAGGGACAGTGAAACTGGAGCAGCACTTACAGCAGATGTAACAGCGAGCAGCAGAAAAATAGCAGGAACACTGATTGAAGAAAGGCGTAGGAGGAAACAGAGGAGAAGAAAAGCGCGAGTAAGAAGAAGTGGAAGCAAGGAACAAAATGAAGTAAAGGAAGAAGAAAAGGAAGTTGAAATGCAAGGGAAAGAAGCTGAAATGATTACCTGGCTTCTCTTGCATGCACCGGAACCCGGGAAAGCATGGCCGAAGACGTGCATTTTTTTGCATGGAGCCGATAAAAATTAATGGATTGTTGGCTGCGTATGCTGAGAGGGGAATCCGCTGACCAATGGTAGAGAACAGGAAGGCGTCTGCTTTTAATGGCGCGATTATTAATGGTCTGCTTAGTTGGTATACTAATCCAGCATTTGTATTAGCAGTATAATAAGGAAAAAAAGCTGGACTAAATATTGATTTCAAAGGAGGAGAGAAAAAGGGAAAAAGCATGGGTAGTATATAAAAAAGAAGCAAATATTGGATAGCGAAAAAATATACTGAAAAGAATTGAGAAAAAAAAATATAGACTAAATAGAAGATACGTATGTCATATACAATATAATAATATGGAAAAAAGTGTAGAATGTTAAATAGAGAATAAGAAGAAAAAAAGATTTGAGCAAAAGGGGAAAAAGATAGTCAGGTAGAAATAACAACAGAGCAAGTAATATTAAATATGGGATAAAGAAAAAATTGTTTAAAAAATGTACCAAATATTTATTTGAAAGGAGGAGAGAAAAAAACCATGGGCACTATATAAAAAAGAAGCAAATACTAGATACCGAAATAATATAGGGATAAGAATTTAGAGCAAAAAAGACTAAATAGAGTATAGGTATATATATAATAAAAGAAGGGGTAATAAAAACAGCAGGGGTAATAAAAAGAAGCAAATAATGGTTAGTAACCAATCTGAATTGAGGGGGAAAAAATAGAAGATAGATACTGCATGATGACGGATGACTAATAGTGCATGATGACGGAGGACAAAAAAGGCAGCAACAAACTTTAAGAGAAAGAATGGGATGCAGGCCACGTGATTTGCACAGGAGTTGGAGGACGAAAGACCAGGAAGAACCCAAGCTCCATTCCCACTTTATATAAAGTACTTTATATACAATACTTCCAAAGTTAATGAACCATAAAAGAAAATTTTGACTAAAAGATAAGGAGAAAAAACAACAAATAAAAATCATAAATAAATTGACCCCATTAAGGTATTGGTTAAAAGGCATGTGAGTGCCTAGTAGGGCCTTGAGTCAGTTTTTGTGCTGTCCTTTACAGATTGTAGTTATGTAACAGCCTTATACCAACCAACTTGCTCATCCCTCTCCATCTCCCAAGCCTCCTTTTTTTTAAATTTATATGATTCACTTTTTTTTTCCTTTTTCTCTACTTGGGTTCTTTATGTACATAGCTCACATTGTATAAGAAAATATTAGACAGAGATATACAAAGTTACATACCTATATGGATAGAGGAGAACATAATATTTTAAAAAATTAAAAATTAAAAAATACCTAATATGGATATTAGAATTAGGTTGTTTGGATAGAGTATTATTTGAAATAATAACTATAACACTTTTTATAATGTGATGTATGTAAGATAAAAAGGTGGTTAGAAATATAAAAAAGTGGATTGAAAAATATATTTATGATGCAAGCGAAATAATATTTGGAATAATTTCAATATCCAAACAATTAATAGTTTTTGTGTGGGAGCTTTTGAGACTTTTTTCATCTTGTTAACAAGAACTCATTTCTTGATTTTCGTCTGGCTAAACATTTATTTCTTGTACTCACTCCTGACAAAGAAATCCCTAAACTTCCTAAAACTCTAAAAGGCAATACATTAGTTCTTACTAGCTAATTAAAATCTTTAAAAAAAAATTAAAACTTGTTTTTGGGTAGAATTATTTTTTAGACTGCCTCCTTTACATTCTTATCAACATTTCTTATGATATTTTCTAGTGTAGCAAATAAGCTAGCTAGATTGGTAGGAAAATTATTTTTTTCCCATGAGCTTTTTTATTCTGTTATTTTTCTTAGTTTTAATTTTTGATAAGAAAAAGTTTAGTAGTGGAAAATTTCCCAATTCTAATGCTAAGGTAGCACATTAACATGTTTTTCAATAATATCGTGATTCTTATAGATTACCTGTAAACAAGAGACTATTTGCATCACAACTTTAATTTGAACTAAAATTTCCCTTATATAAGATGAAGGAACCTTACTAGTTGAATTAAACTCTGTTGATTTTCTTTGTTTTAAAGGATAATATTAGAAACTTCTCCTAATGTTTCTCTTAATATCACTTAATACCTCTTCGGTTTTAAAAACATCACTTATCTCCCTTACATTTGCTATTTGCAAAAAATCCTAAACTACCCTTTTGCTAAACAAAAATATTCTTAAGTGACTTTGTTTAATCTATTAAAATCACCATCTAAAAAACAGTCTTAAGTACTACCATCACGTCACAAAGTCATATTTGCTAAAAATATAAATTTGAAAAACACAAAATATTCTTTATATGATCAACATCAATTTTTTATGAATCCTATATTTTTTCCAACAACTTCTCAAGCCATGACCTAAACCTTTAAGTTGTAATAAATCAGTATAAAAATCAAATCAAAATCTAGGGATTTTCAAAATCTCAAAGGTGCTAAATGCTACTAAGAGAAAACTCAGGGAGGTTTTCTGATATTATCCTTGTTTTAATCACCTCTGTAATGAATCAATATATGTTAGACCCATATAATACCGGCTCGCACTTGGGTGGATCCTACTTTTAAAGATCCAATGGCTTAGATTGAATAACACCGTCTCACAAAGTGATATGTCATAATTTGGGTTATTGTGTAATTGAAAACCGGCTTTACCCCAGATTTGGACTATAATACCTCCTCCCTCTCTCATAGACTCACACACTCCACATAGAGAACTCTCACAATCTCACCTTTCTCTCTCACACACTTCACACAATATACACATCTTTCTCTCATACACTAAGACACGTAGTCTCACCTTTCTCTATCACACACTTCACACAATATACACACCTTTTTCTCACACACTAAGATACGTGGTACAACCACCACCTTGTATATCGTCGTCTTAATTTTTTGTCACGTTTTAAGAATTCAATTTGTTAAGGATAGTATTTTGATTATAATATTTGTATTTTTTTCTAATCTTACCTCCATAAATTCAAATTCTAAATTTGAATAACAAAATATTCATATGATTAAAGGAATGAGATCGTGTTAAAAGGAGAAATTAATAAAATTATTATTTAATATTTTTAACATGACAAACATTTTTGAAATATTTCGAAATGAAAAGGACACCAGCGCGTCATTTTCAATGGAACGCGCAGAGAGTCCTCCTACATCACACACTCACACACCATTAGCTCACAATTTCACCTTTCTGTCTCTCACACACGTCATACTAACACAGACACAATCCCACCTTTCTCTCTCACACACTACACACAGAGACGTACAGAAAGACAAAGCACAGCACAGCACACTCTCACAGCACTACTCAGTCTCCCCCATACACTCTTCCCCTAATATAAAAACCCTAATTCTCTTACTTCCCTCCCCTTTTGCCTCCTCTCCAACTACCGCTACCTCCACCACCGCCCCTAACTCTGCACCATCACACCACTTTCCACCACCATCATCTCCGCCGCAGCCGCCTTCGCCTGTCAAATGCCTCACCCCTAATACACATCGTCCTTTCTTACTCTCTCGACTCCAATGACTCACACTCTCTCTCTTCTACTCACATTCATCCTCCTCCTTCACCACCTCCAACTTCGCCACTGCTCTGCTGTCGTGGACGACGAAATCCGGTCACTTCTCGAGTTCAAAAAGGGAATTAAAATCGACCCATTAAACAAAATCTTCACCACATGGAACGAAACCCTTTTAGATCCATCCATTCGCTCCAGGAACAACGTCACTTGCCCCTCCTCCTTCTACGGCGTTTTGTGCGACCCTTCTTCCAACTCCATCACTGCCATTAATCTCTCTGGCCTCGGCCTCTCCGGTGAGCTCAAGTTTAGTACCCTGTTGCCCCTAAAATCCCTCCAAAACCTCACTCTCTCTGGTAACTCCTTCACCGGCCGTCTTGTCCCGGCCGTCGGAACTATGACTACTCTGCAGCATTTAGATCTCTCAAACAACCAATTCGTTGGCCCGATTCCAGACCGGATAAATGATCTCTGGGGCTTGAATTATCTCAATTTATCGCGAAATAATTTAACCGGGTGGTACCCCGGTAGTACCTATAATTTGAATCAGTTGAAAGTGATGGACTTGCATCAAAATTTCCTAAGTGGGAGCGTGGAATTCTTATTTTCGGTTCTCAGGAATGTGGAGTATGTGGATTTGAGTGGAAATTCGTTTGTGGGATCCTTGGCATTGAGTGCTCAGAATGTCTCTAGCCTGGCTAATACAGTTCAGTATCTCAATTTGAGTGGTAACAATTTGGCTGGTGGATTTTTCACAGCGGATGTAATG